CAGGCCTGAGCACTGCCTTGGCACACACGTGCGCACGCGTGTACACACATACTCTCAAGGCCACTGTCACAGATACAGAGGACTTCCCACCACCTCCCTCGGAGCAGGGCGTGGGGGCTCTCGGAGTTCAATGCATGCCTGCTCAGAGATGGCCCAATGTGAAGCAGCAAGCAGTAGCCCAAAACATGGACATGGAGGAGAGAGTGCGGCGGGGAAAGGCTAGTGCCACAGATGCCACAATCCTAGGCCCTGCAGGCTGCAGGGAACCCTAACAGTCCCTAGACCCCAGTGCAGAAGGGCAGTCAGGGGCCACATCCAGCCACAAACACAGGGCCTTGAACCCATACAGAGTTTAAAACTTGGCTTAAAAATTACTCGCTATATCCACACAGCGGATGCTGAACAACAAAGAACTGTGAATGAACCACAGGCTGAGCATCCCTCATCCAAAACGCTCAGAGGTGTCTCGGGTGTCAGACTCCTGGACTTTGGAATACATGCATATTCATAAGCAGCTGTCCAGGGATGGCACCCAAGTGCAAGCATGAAGCTCCTTTATGTTTCACAGACACCAGATGCACACAACCTTGGAACGTACTGTAACTGTGTAACTGTGTTTAGTGCCACCCACATTTTGACTGTGACTTGTCACATGAGGGCTTTCCATTTGTAACATTATGACAGCACTCCAAAGGTTTTGCATTTTGGAGCATTTAAGATTTTGGATTTTTTTTTTTTGGATTAAGAATGCTCGACCTCGGATGAATTCCCAGGGAATTGCACTCAATGATTAAAAACCAATTCTGTGGGGCCGGCACTGTGGCGTAGCAGGTAAAGCCACTGCCTGCAGTGCTGGCATCCCATACGGGTGCCGGTTCGAGTCCCGGCTGCTCCATTTCCGGTCCAGCTCTCTTCTATGGCCTGGGAAAGCAGTAGAAGATGGCCCAAGTCCTTGGGCCTGCTAATGGAATATTCTGTGTCTTGATTGCTCCCAGGGCACCTTCTCACTATGGTGCTGGGCCGTGGTCTGAGAAACCACAACACGGGGGCAAAGCGGGTACTGGCCTTGGGGAGCCCTCTGTGTTATTTCTTACAACGGCATGTGAGCTGGCAGTGATCTCAAAATTCAACGTTAAATGTAAAAAGGGACTTGGAACACCAGCGTTAGGTCTTTAAAGATGGGGAGATGAGGCAGTGTTGGTCTTCCTATCTCTGCACAGTAACGGCCAGCAGGGATCGGTCTACCCCCACCCCCACCCCTGTCCCCATCTTTCCCCCGATGGCAGACTCCTTCACCACTGGGCCTCACGCAGGACTGACAAAAGGCACCCACCGCTAACATATGTGGGAAACGCGGGTCTGGTTCAACCTTTCCTTACACCAAGAGATGTCGCCCGAATAGTCAAAAGCCACAGAGAACCTCAGTGGCAGAACCATGAATGCCAGGCATCTTCTTCCCCTGCCACACATCTGCCTCGCTGGGGTCAGGGTGAAGGGGTGGGCACAGCATGAGCAAAGGCCCTGGGGCAGGGTCCACACAGCCTTACTACCAAATAACCACAACCACCCCACAGAGACCACCCAGGACACAGGTATAGAATCAGTCACAGCGGCTGCCCTTCAGTCCTAGCAAGCCCCACTATGGCTGTGTGACAGCTCAGGGACAGGGTTAGGACAGCACTGAGGAATCAGTGAGTCTAGTTAGCCTGCTGTGCTTGGAGCCGTTTAGCAGTTCCCAGCTAGCCAGAGGAAGGCAGAAGAGAGAGAGACAAAGAAAGAGAGAGAAAAGGCAAGAGCACTCCTGGTACTCTGGCCCTCTGGGTGGGGTTGGGGGGTCCTGTTCTCACCACCTGTGGTTTCCAAAATTGCAAGGGTGGCCAAACCCCACCCCAGGGACTGAGAGCGCACAGTAACCTCTGCTCCCGCCTCCTTCTGAGCGCCCCTCTCTGCACTGTGCCGGCACCACGACAGTCAGCCACATAAGCTCGGCAGCTGGAGCAGGCACAGAGCCGAGTGCCTGCACAAGGGACGGCAGAGGGCACTGGAGGCACCCAGGGGGCTGCAGGAGGAAGCAGGCAGAGTCAGTGAGTCTAGGCTCCTGGCGGCACAGCAGAGGCGGGGGTTGCCCCACAGAAGAGGGGCTTGGGAGGGTCTTTGTGTTGCTGCACAGGCCACACTTGCAGGCAGCTGAGCCACAGCGAGAGGGCAGTGGATGTCTGGGCTGCCCACTGGGATCTCGAGGATGGCTACCCCCAAGCAGTGGGATCAACTCGCACCCAGCCTGGGATGGAGCCAGACTCACCACCATCAGGGCTGCCCAGTGTGAACCTGACCTTCAAAGCCATTAGGACCCCGGATGCCTTCTAAACACCAGAAAGAAGTTGTGCTGGACACTCCAAGACTGGAAGCTCAGCTCTGGGGATGGAGGCCCCATTTGCAACCTGCTACCCCAGAGGGAAGCTGGGAACCACAGCTTCACCTACAGCTTGCTAGACAGCGAGTCGGAGAGTTCAAACCAGCCTCAGGTGCAGGGGTCTTTCTTGGGAAGGCAGCCAAGCCCACGGCTGATGCCTGCACTGGTCAGCCCCGCCCCCACCTCACCTGTAAAGACTGGGTCCCTACAGAGGAGAAGCTGCCTGCGGCTGGCCAGCAGTGGACACCAGAGGCTCAGAGGGAAGCTTGGTGCTGCCGGGCAGCAGGTTCACCAGCAGGAAGCGGGACCCAAGAGGAGGGGAGGGCTGGGAGCCGCCCTGGGACTCTGGGCCGTGGGGAGGAGTCTGCTCAGAGGTGAGGCAGAATTTGCAGGGTTGGCCTGACGTGTGAAAGGACATCTGCCTTGGAGGTCACCTGTGCCCCTGCCTGGTGCAGATCGCCTGACGCTACTCATTCCACAACCCCACCAACTGCCCTGCCACGCAGCCACACGGAGGAAGAAGCAGCTTCCCAGAGACTCCATCCTGGGGAAACTGAGCCTGCCCAAGAGACCCTCTGCCACCTTGCTAAGCTGGGAAGAGAAAGAGGAAGCCGCAGCCACCCTCAGCCAACCCTGGCTCAGCAGGGTCTGGGAATGCTGCTTCCAACTGGCAGCGGGCGTGGCCAGAGGTGTGGCTCAGCCCTCCACAGGGCAGCATTCCTGACCAGCTGGGGCCCAGCAAGGGGACAGCATGCTCCTACTCGGTGTCCCTGTGGGTGAGCCGCCACGACCATGGCCACAGTCAGCACTTCAGGCTTTAACCATGAGCAGAACTGGACTGCTGCACACCCACCCCAGGGCACAGGCTGCCTGGGAAGACACCCTCCAGAATACAAGCAAGGAGCATGCATGGGAGCAAGGGGCTTCTGCCCGCTAACCCTCAGCACAAACCCCGCGGGAGGGTGGACACCTGCGGAGGGAAGCTGCCTGGGGCTGACGGAGGAAGCAGGATGGGTTTCCTCTGGGGCCTCTTTCTAGACATCCCAATAGGGAAAGCCCAAGGCAGCTGGGGAGAGGCGTCGGGATCCCCAACAGAAGGACTGAGCTGCTCCTTGCTTATCTACAGGCCCAGGAGCAGAGGACGGAAGGGCTGGCCAAGGACAAGGCTGGTGCCCACCCCTGACCCCTCCGCCCTGTGCTCTCCCCCGCATGATGACTTTCAGCTGATGCCCATTCTGAGGGAGTGCCTTGTCTGTGACTGTGATCGCCACCGGTTCCCCACCCCCCTTCTGATCACACCTGGCCCTTTAGAGGGAAGGAGAGTCCACAAGGTGCCAGGGCCTAGAAGCCTTGGGAGAAGAAGGAGACCCCCTGCTGGCCTCTGGATGGAAGGAACCGGCGGGATGTTTGAGCTGCTGGCTGGGGGTGGGTGTGTGTGGCGCACGTGGAAGACCTGGAAGACGCCACGGGCGTAAGAGCTCAGCCAGACTCACAAAAGCAAGAGAGCAGCTTTTGGGCTGAATCAAACGTCTCTGTGCACTCTGCTTAGACGCACGCAGGCACCTGGGGGTTAAGCACCATCTCCAGGACTGCAGAGGCCAAGCAGGCCTTGGAGGATCCTAGCTTTAGGTTTGGATGCCCAGCCAAAGAGTGGGATTGGAACACATACAGGTCCAAAAATAGAATCCTCATCAAGTCCAAAGCTGGCCCAAGAGGCCCCCTGCTTCTCTGCAGTCTGCGGTCACTGCAGGCTCAGTAGCAAGTTTCTAAACTTTGGCCCAGTGTGGGACCACGCCTCTGAGCCCCAGCACCTCACACAGTGGCTGCCACAACGTGCACCTGCCCCAAGACCATCCCAGGAAAAGCAGGCACACCACTGATCGGCTACTGGAAGCAAACGAACCATCACACTGAGCCCCATGCCTGGCCACGGAAGGGCCTCCCGGGTTCCAGTGGGGCAGCACGAGCCACCACCCCCCATGCCAGGGCTACCAGCAGCCGGCAGGCGAGCGCTGTGACCTCAGCCTGCCAAGGATAAGGAGCGCATGCCCTCCACCAGGCCCAGAGCGCGTCCTGCCTGCAGCAGCTGTGTTGTGCTTCGAGCAAGTCACAGACTTGGTGCCTCAGTGCGGGTGTGGACAGGGGAGTCAGGGGTCAGGTGTTCACGGCCAGCGTGGCCCTCCACGTGCCTGCTTCCAGGTGCCCAGCCTTCAGACTTCCAGGGGGGACAGGCCCTGAGACGAGTGGCAGGCAAGGCGCTGGCCCGCTGCCCTCACACACAGAGGTGTCCCTGTTCTCAACAGCCTTGAGAAGGCCAAAGCAGCCCTGCCCCCTGCCCAGGAACGGAGCTAGGAGAGCCTCATTTCTGCAGCCTGGGCCTGGGGGACACCCTCAGCTCCCGGCATCCACCTTGCTGACCCGGGACAGCTGCCCCCAGCCAGCGGCTGCCCGCGCAGCCCTTTGCGGGCTGGGCTTTCCAAATGCATGCACCTGAGAGGTTCTTTTCTGAGCTGTGTGGCCTCAGGGGCTGCCCAGGGAGGGATGGGGTTACAGGGCAAGGCTATGGAGCCCACGTCCAGGCACCTACCTTGACCTTCGCAGAGCTTCCTCATCGGGGTCTTGCACTGTGGGAAGAAAGGACCTGGTCAGGAGGACTCCCAGGGAGCTTGGGGAAGAAAAGCCGCAGGGGGGCCCTGTGTGCACTGAGTCTCCAGGATTCGGCCAGGCCCTGCGCGGTCACTGCCCCCCAGCCTGTCTACTACAGGAAGGAAAACCTGTCTGCTGGGCACGGGGCTGGGCGGGCAGAGGCGAGAGGAGGTAGTGCAGGGAACTGGGAGGGAGGTCAGAGCTGCAGCCTGCAGGTCCTCTTATCCTAGCCCTGGGCAGTCACACTGCAAGGTTAGTGCGCCACCCCTGGTTGGAGGCCGGGATTGCAGCAAAGGCTGCCTCCCTGGAGAGGTTTCTCCCCTTCCCGCCCCAGCTGCCAACCACCCACGCAGGCCAGCTTATCCAGGGCTATGGTTTCACTCCTGGGCTTCTGCTGGCCCCCCGACTGTGGAGTCAGGCCCGGGACGCTCCAGGTCCCCCGGCCTCTCCCTTCCCTGCCCCCTGCCCCTGCACAGGCCCTCACTCACTGAATTCCGTCCCCGTCATCTGGGCCAGGATCCGGAAGGAGCGTGACTGCAGGTTGGAGGAGCGGCGGGCCCACTCGTCAGCCTCATCCTCAGGCTTGTTCTGGTTCTTGATCACAGCCTGGTACACGGGCGAGGCGCTGTCCACCGCCAGGTCTTTCACAGGAAGGCTCCTGCGATGCAGAAAGCGGCGTGGGTGTGGGCGGGGGACTGGGCGGGCACCCGGCTCTTGCCGCCCCGTGTCCCTCCCCCTCCCTAGCACCCATCACGCCTTCAACCCCTGCTAGCCGAGACACTGAGGCCCGAGTGTGGCCTGGGTCCTGGTGCTCAGGGTGGTCACAGCGAGGCAGTGGCTCCTGTCACCCACACGGGGGGGGGTCTTGGATCTCTCCTGTCTGTCCCCCCCTCCCCCTCTCCATTGCTAAGTCCAGGCCGCAAGAAGCCCCTTGCTTCTGGACCCCTTTTAAGGGAGGAGGTAGCAGCTTGGCAAGGACAGAGGCGTCCTCAGGGCCGGTCCACTGCCCTCCTTGCTCCTCTGCACCCAGACTGGAAGTCGCCAGGGTTGTGCTGCCTGGAAGAGGCGGAGGCGGAGGGGTGGGAGCTCCAGGCTCAGCCACAAGAGTGGCGTGAGAATCAAGGCAGCAGTGCTCCAAGCCCCTGGCCTGGGAGGGTGGGGATCCGAAATGGGACCATGGGGAGGCCATTGCTCTCTGCCCAGGGCAGCACCGCCTCCTGGGATGACCTGGTAATCTTCTCCTAGACTCCCGGTCTTGGCACAAGGTGGGTGCTGGAAACTCCCAGCTGGATAAGTGAATTGTACAGCAGAGCCCGAAGGGGCCCAGGGCCCCTCAGGATCAGTGCCTCCCAGCTGAGGGCACCTGCAGGGCAGGCAGGGAGCCGCAGCAAGGGCCCAGACGATGCAGGCCACCCACCCCACCCTCTCAGAGACGGGGAAGCCACAGCACTAGGAGCCGCTCTTATACACGGGCAAGCTGAGGTCCAGACAGGACAGGTGACACGCTCCAGCTTACGGCAGGTAAGGGGTCTACTGCACTGGAACTCAGGGTCCCTTCTCTCAGCCCTCCCCCCAGTCACCGGTGCTCAGAAAGACCACTGTGCCCATGGGGCTTACACACAGACTGGCTACCTCATGCTAGAGAGACGGCCCAGCCCAGATGTGCCCTGGCCAGAGCCCTCCTGCCACCTCCCCCTACTGTGTCCCCACCCAGGTCCTCCCCGATGTCTGTGTCTTCCACTCTCCCTGCTGGGAGCTGGACAGAGCCAAGGCTGGTGGCCTGGGTCTGGCAAGGGGTGGGCTAGAACAGAGGTGGAGAAAGGTGATGGAGGTGGGGCTGAGCTGCTCCCTCCTTCTCTGTCAGGGCTCTGGTCCCCCCACAGAGCTACAGGTGCCAGCAACCCTGGGCTGGGATAACTGGGAAGGCCAGTAGATCCCACTAGGGGCTGGCCGGGATGGGAGTGTGCAGTTGCCCAGGGAGTGGGAGGGAAGGCGGAGCCATTTCCAGCGTCGGAAGGAGCGCCGAGGTGTTTGGGTGAAACGGGCGACAGAGAAGCACAACCATGTCTCCTGGTTCCGGCTCCTGGTCCGCTAAGAGGAGAGGCAAGGAAGATTTGTGGATCTAGCCGTGGAGAGAGACAGCGTGGATGCAAGCCGGGGCCCTGTTCTTGGGCCCATCTACACAGGCAGATGGAAGGCATTTGGGTCTCCTGCTCCTTTCCCGGTTCCAGGGGATCCCGGTTCCTGGGACTCCACATTGCTGGCCGTGCTTCCCGCCCAACCGTGCCAAGGGGGACTTGTGAGCTGAGGGAATGGTTGTGCCTGTTTAGGCACAGAGGCTGAGGGAGAAGAGACGCAGTGAGGATGGACCAGGTGCTGTTGTCCTGGGGCCCTGGACCAAGGCTGCTCTCGGCTGCAACTCCCAGCTTGCGCTTGTTGCCACAGAAACCACTCAGGGTCCCCCACAAAATCCAGGTCATGTCTGCTGCTTCCTCCACTGTGTTCGCTGCCTCTTAATCTGTCTCCCTCTTCCACTTCCCACAGGAGCTGCGGCAGGTGCTGGCTCCCACAGACCCAACTGCCAAGGGCTGTGGCCTCCAGGAGGCCCCCTTGCCTCCCTGGAACCCTGAATAGTGGCCCAACTACCCTGTCCCAGTGTACACCAGAGGGGAGGAGCACCCTTCTCCAGCATAGCTAGGAGAACACAGAGAAGCGCCCCCAGGCTGAGGCCCAGCAGCCTGAGTGTCATTACTCTGATTCCTGAGGCCATCGTGACATTATCCCGGACACACCCCAAAAGCCAAGTTCGTGCCCGCCTAGGCTAAGGGGGTGTCGTGTGCGTGTGAGGAATACCCGTGCTGAGAGTCCGCGCGCCTGACCACCGGTCCTCACGCGCATCCCACCAATCCCGCACACCGTCCCGCGCGACCAGACAGACGCCGACGACGCCGGGACAGACACCGCGGGGGCTACTTACGCCAGCGGCGACGCCCTGCCCAAGCAGAGCGACACCCAGCCGTGAGTGCGCGTCCATCATGGGATGGCAGAGGCGGCGCGCACAGAGAGCGGGGTTAGGATCAGAAATGAGTTACGGGAGTGGGGCGGGCGCAGGAGGAAGAGAGAGAGAAAAAGAAAAACGGTTAGTGAGGAAGGAACCAGGGCAATGAACGGCAGCCCCCGGGAACGAGTCCGGCCGGCCGGGAGGGTCGCTCAGCTGCACCGCTGCAGCTCCGCGCCGCTGCTTTCACAGGCGGGGAAGGGAGAGCGCACGAGGGAGACGAGAAGCCATAGATGAATCAGTTCGTTTAAGAGCGCATCATGTTGCAAAAACCATGGGTGACCTCGTGGTGAAACCAAACGCCAGCCGAGTTAGTGAAGAGCAGTCTTCCCAACACTCCCCGGTGCACCTGCCTTTGGTGGCTGCTACGCGTTTAAGAACACGCCAAGGGCACGCACGGGTGGCACACAGATGTTAGCAGGAAATCCCTGCGCGCTCCGGGGCTTAGTCAGCCTGCCGTATTGTTCCCAGTCCACATGAGCTAATAGTTGTTTTTAAACTCACATGGTCGTATTTTATACTTCGAAGGATGGGATTCAATTCATCAGCATCGCCCACAGCTCTGCAAAGCTCTGAGCCTGGCACGTTGAGATGTGCGGCTCCAGGGCGGGTGGCTCCCGCCTCCTGGTGGCCCAGAAGAAGTACTGCTTTCCCAACAGGGCGGCGCTGGGCAGCCCCGTACTGGGAGAGCCCAGCAAATTATCCTCAGGCTCTGGGATATGTATATAATCCCCATCCTCCTCATAACATCTGTATTCCTAGCTTTGGAGAAAAAAGTATAGCTGTCATTTTAAGATTTTTTTTTTCTGCCATGAGTTGCTGGTGATTCTGATCCAGAGATAAGATGTTAACCAAGGAGATAATCAGACAGTTCTGTAAGTCTCCATTATGACAGTCCCAAGCCAAAAACCAAGAGATGTGTGTGTGTGTAAGAGACGACAGAGAGCAGGGAGCAGAGATACATAGAGAAGCCAGAGAGAGAGAGAGAGAAGACAGAGAGTGGTCCCATTGATATCAGCACTGTTAGCCATTCCATTCGCCAGTGATTTTCAACCAACTCTTTCCCTAGTCCATACACAAGAAGACCCCGGCCACAGTTCACAGGCGAAGTCAGAAACCAGAGGCCAGGTGGCCATCGGCTGGGCCAATTACAACAGTTCCAGCGATGACCGATCTGAGGCACTGCCCCAACCAAGAAACCTATCACATCTTCCACTCTCCTGGTTGGGAGAGCTCAGCCCCGCCCCATTCTGCACACCAAGAATGGCTTGGTTATGAGAGGCCTGGGGGTGTCTAGAACGTTCTCTTGTTAAGAGGGAGGCCTGTAGTGCCGGCATCCCATATGGGCGCTGGTTTAAGTCCCGGCTGCTCCACTTCTGATCCAGCTCTCTGTAATGGCCTGGGAAAGCAGTGGAAGATGGTCCAAGTCCTTGGGCTCCTGCACCCATGTGGGAGACCTGGAAGAAACTCCTGGCTACAGATCAGCCCAGATCTAGCCGTTGCAACCATCTGGGGAGTGAACCAGCAGATGGAAGACCTCTCTCTCTCTCTCTCTCTCTCTCTCTCTCTGCCTCTGTCTCTGCCTCCCTCTCTATAACTCTGCCTTTCAAACAAACAAATAAATTTCTCTTAAAAATAAAAATAAAAAAAAAGAGGGTTGCATGTGTCTCCTTCTATACCGGCCCCTCGGGGAGCCTGAGATATACAGCAGCCGCGAAAAGCACTTTGCAGGAGGTACTGTAGTATCCAGCTTCTCCTACAGCTGACCGGGAGCTGGTAGGTTCTGAAAACAGGACCCAGGTTCTGCAAGGCCCTGACTCGGGCCTGTGCCCCCAGGATGCCCGAGCCAAGGGAGGAGCGCTGGTCCCGATGGCACCCAGCGGCCTCTGCGGGCGCGTGCAGGAGGGGAGGCGCTTACCCGCTGAAGTCACTGCCCTGGGCCTGGGCCTGGCCGGCGATGGCATCCATGATGGCATCCTGGGAGTACATGCTGATGGGAGTGTTGTACTGGGCGTGGATGATGGTGGCCTTGCCGCCCAGCCCCTTGACCTCGATGGGTTTGTGGGTGGACAGGGCTGAGTCCTTCAGGGCACCTGGGTTGAAGCGTTCCTGGTAGTCGGCGCTGGGGGAGGGGCACGTGAGGAGCAGGGTGGGAGAGGGTTGGGGGAGGGGGAGAAGAGGGAACAGGTGGTGGTTACACGGGAGGTCAAGGCCAGGGCAGACGGTGGGGGTGTGGAGAGAGATCTCCCAAAGCCAAAGCTCTGGTTCCAAGCAGGTGACCCAAGTCCCTCTCATGCCCGTGGTGGGCCGGCCCGATCTGATCAGGAGAGTCCTCAGCCCCTCCATAAGGCTTCATGCCTGAGGTCTTTCTGGCCCAGCTCCACTTTCCCAGCCCCTGCACACCTGGCTCAGCCTCAGCCACCTCCAGGGTCAGCAGGTGCTCCAGGCATGGCGAGATCTCCCCACAACACACAGCAGGGGCAGCAGAGACAAACAGGGCCAGGAGAATGGGGACTTGGGGACAGGGGAAGGAGCCGGACCACGTGAGAGGCAGCGACAGCTCAAGCTAAGTCCAGAGCGCCCCAAAGGCGGAAAGCAGCAGCCCCTGCACCCCCCACCCCTCCAGGCCCAGCAGCTGAGCGAGGTCCCTCTGGCCAACTCTTGCAGATGCTACGCCACATTCACTTCTTCTTCAGAGCAGGGCTCAGGCCTCCCGGGCCCCCTGAAGTCCAGATGGCTGTGTGGCCCACCAGCCAGTCTCATGGGGGGAGCACATAGACAAGATCAGGCACAGCCTTCGCAGGGGTTCCCTGCAGGACAGCCAATTCTTCAGGCTTGCAAGGTCCCCAAGGCGCAGCTTGACACTCTCCATCCCCATCCCTCTCTGCACCCCGCCCCCAGCCAGCCGGCGGGGCTTAAGCAGCTGCAGCACAAATGAGACCATCAGACGGAGCCTCCCAGCCCCCCACCCCAAAAAACCGCCTCCGCCCCCTCCTTGAGCTTCACGTACATGCAGGCTCACCCAGGAGCACACAGGCACCAGCACTCACACATGCACACACTGTCCACGCCAGACAGACACGCATGCCGGGCGAGCACACGGCGCACACACATGCTGTCCTGGATACTAACTTGGCCGGCGAGTTGGCTACCACCTGGGGAAGAGAGAAAGGGCAAAGACAGGGCCGTGAGAGGGGGGTTCCCATGTTAGGGGTGGGGGTCTGAGCACCGGGCCCCTCCTTGGGCTGGCCGTTTCAGAGGCAGAACCACTCGAAGTTCACTGGGCAAAGAGAAAGGAACGAGCAAGGCAGGGCTGATCAGGAATCCCGCGCCCTCGGCATCGCCGGAGAAAAGGGTTTTCACACCCATCTTCCTGGCACTCACGCCGTGTAGACACAGCTTGACTGTAGACCCCCGAGAAGAAGCTGGGGAGTGAGGCAGGATCTGCTGTGGCCACCACTGGCAGGTGACAGCAACTCTGGACTCAGCCCTGTCCCACGGGGCCAGCTCCAGAGCTCTGCTCCCCAGCAGGTGTCACAGTGGTGCTGGCGGGGGAGGGGTTGTCAGAGTTATGGGATGTATGTACAACAGGGTTACCTGTGGTTCCGGACCTGCTCTTCCTCCTAAGCACGGGGGTCAGGGTGGGGGTGGCGCAGTCCTCACTCCTAACAGCACTGTGGACCCCCCCCCAGTGAGGAGGAGTGAGGCATCTCGGGGAGAAGTGTGGGTTTGAGACTTGCCAAGGCAGCCCATAAGGGGACCCGGCCCCACTCCTGCAGCCTCCTGGAGCAGGGTCTCTCTGGGGGCCACATGGTCTGCATCAGATCTCTGTACATGCAAATCCCCTGTGAGTTGCCAGTGGCCTTGTCCAAAACTGAGAGGGAGAGAATTTTCTGTCCACAGACCCTGCCGCCTTTCCGGGTCTGTCCATCAGGAGCTGTGGCTGGGGGAGCCTGGGTCCCAGTTGACTTAGTCCTGGACAAGTCCCTGCCAGGTGCCTGGGGAGTCAGGCCAAAACCAAGGGGCTCCCTGCTGCAGGGAGCTTCACCGTCGCCCTGTTTAGCCCCAAGTCCACCACCGTCTCCGAGCTGATAAAATTCCCTCTGTCCTTCCAGGCTCAAAATAGCCACAAGCGGAGCTATATTAGGAACGGGCCAGCACAGAGCTTCCATTTCTTCTCCATTTTTGGCTAGTGCTGACAGCTGCACAGTCAGCTCCTGCCTCCACCCTCCCTCCCCCAACCAGCCCAGTGCCCCCTGCAGAGGGCAGTGTTGGCCTGGTAGGGTGAGGGCTCTCTCTTTGGCCTTGGTTCCTTGTCCTCTGCTCAGCTTCTGCCTGAGAACCCAAGGCTGGGGTGCCTACAGCAGACGCAGCTCAGAGAGGAGCCAGTGCCAGCTCTAAGACTTGCCCAAGTGGCCTGAGAGATGATGCCCTCCCATGCCTACCCCAGAGAGGATGCCTTTGCACCCCAATCTGCTCCTCTGCACGTCTCCCATGGGATTCAAGCTGCCCAGGGAGGCAGGGAAGGAGCCAGACAGGACAGAGCTCAATCCTGACCCTGCCTCTCCCTAGCACGGTGACTGGGCAAGTCGCCGTCAGCCTCGGCCTGTTTCCTCATTCATAAAATCGAGATGGTGACGCCCACTGCCCCGATGAGCAGAGTACAAAGAACGGGACCCTGAGCATGCAGCCCTCAGCATGGATGCACATGCGGCTTAGCCCTGGCTGACTCTGTTGCTGGACATGGCCCGGGTGGTGGCCCTTGGCCTGGCGGAGGCTGCCCCAGGCTCTTCCAGCTCAGAGATGCTGCCCCTTCCTGCCTGCATTGCCCAGGAGAGCAGCAGGAACTTTTGCTTTTGGCTGAAGCATGCTGGCCTGTCTTCCCTTGGAGGACACTATTGGACCTGCTGCTCTGCTCATCAATAATAATTCATACATTCATCAGGCCCCGGGCAGCTCCTGGCCCAGCGAGAGGGCACTGCAGAATCACAGGACGTGGAGGAGGGGGGCTGGCCCCTGACTTCCCCAAGCAGGTGGGTAGGTCCTCGTCTCAATGCAAGGTGGAGTTAGTTGTACCCAGGTGCCAGCTTCTGTTTTCCACCTGGAAGATGGAGGCAATGATGTGCTCCTTTGAATTCGCTAAGAGACAAAGCATGTGGGTGATTGGCTGTCTCCCATCTGCAGAGAGAGCTCAGCGTCACTGCAGGTGGGCCTCCGCAGGAGGGAGGGTGTCCCAGTCATCAGAGGCCACCTCCCCAAGCAGGCTGTCCTACCAGCCCAACAAAGGCAGGACAAGGAGACCACCTCTGTTCTGCTAGTCCCTGAACTTTCTGGCCAAAGGCGCTCGGGGAGGAAACCCCACAGGGCACAGACATGGCGCTGCCACCCTGGGTCAGGGAAGCTGCCCAGTGCCAGGGGCCAGCTTCATTCAGGGTCCCAGAGGAAAGCACGGGCGATCCAGGCAAGCAACAAGGCCCACAGGCAGCAGCAAGCTGGTAGGGCCCAGGCGCCTCCCTGCAGCAAGGGCAGAGGGAAGGGCACTGGGCTCCTGGTTGGACTCCCACATGCACCAGCTGAGTGAGCCCAGGCGGTGACAACATGGGGGCCCCACGTGGAGCGTGTGTGGCAGCCCAGACTCGTGCTGTCTGCTAATCCCAGGACACTGACTGAGTCACGCCTCCCTCTGCATGCCAGGGACGTCTGAGCACCAGGCTGTGCTGCCTTCACCCAGGCTGCCCTGTGTCTAGCACCCCCAGATTCTGCCACCAAGCACTTGGGGCAGCTGTGGGCATCAAGAGGAGATAGTAAGCGTGAAGGGCTTGGCGCTCATACATGCTGGCGTGGGGCTCCCTGCACCAGCCCTCACCGCGAGTCCCAGCTCCATGTTGGTTGAACTCCTGTCTCCCAACAGTGAGACCCCTGAGCGCTATTTTCCCCCACAGCCCCTTTCTCCTCTGGCTGCTGCTTCCTTGCTTCCCCACCTTGGCCAGGGTCCGTCCTGCACAGCTCAAGCACTCCCTCCTCCAGGAAGCCTTCCCAGACTACTTTCGGCTCCAGAGGAACCCGCCCCTCCACCTCTCTAACTCTTCCTTGCTCCTGCATCAGGGCTCCCCAAGGGGTGCCAGCCCAGCAAGCTGTCTCCTTGCCCCGTAGCTCCTAAAGGCAGTCGGTGGTGCTGGCCCATTCTAGGGGGGTGGGAGGGACCTGGTGTGAAAGTTTGGGAAGCCAGAGCGTGCCGCCTGCAGGCCTGGCTCAGCCACTTGGTAGCTGAACAACTGCACCATGACCGCAGTGTCCCTGAGCTTCCCCCTGTGCCAAGTCTGACAGGTCACCCAGGTGGCGGTGTGAAGCAATGCCACAGCCGGCTCCTGGCAGATGGCCTGGTGATGGTGCTGCTGTCAGCCTGCACTGCCTGGTGAGTTTGGGGCTGGCGGGACAGAGACCAGTGCCTCGCTCTGACCATCCTGACCAGGATTCCACTGAGCACCAAAGCCCCAGGTGGCCCCAGACCACGCGTGGAGAGCCGCGTGCCCATTACCTACCCTCCTGGGAGTCCAGCACCCGAGGCCTTCCCTCGGAGGCTCATGTGATACAGCTGAGCCATCTCCCTCAGGGTCTCTGCCGAGTACAGGCCAATGGGGTTGTTGTACTGCCTCGGCCGGCGCGAGCCCTGCGCAGCCCGGGCCCCCTCCGAGCTGATCTTGGTGCTCGGGCTGCCCTGTGAAAGGCCGGAGTCCAAGACCTCCGTGTGCGGGGAGAAGCTGGAGGCCTGGGAGTAGGAGGGGCTGAAGGCGCCCCTGAGCTCTGGGGTGCCCGGGCTGGCCCTCGCCTCGGGGCTGCCGTTCGTGTCCAGAGCAGGGTCCTGGCCCAGGACAGCGCCATGCAGGGGAGAGAGAAGAGAGCGGTTAGAGGCCACACGCATCCTGAGCTTCTGTGTGGACCTGGAACAGACATGTTAGTGCGAGCGCCCTGCAGCCCACCACCCGCCACCTGCAGCCCGCTGCCCAGAGCGCCTACAGGGAGCTGCGAGGGAAGGGATGTATCTGGAGGAGCTGGGGCTGCCCATAGCCCACAGGCTGGCATCCAGTTGGACAGAAGGCGAAGCCTGGGCGGAAAGCCAAGCCACTAGTGCTGCCCCCAGGGCGGCCCAGAAAAGAGGCTCTAGGGCTCAGGGTATAGCAGGAGCCCCTCCATGCTCTGTTTCCCCTTCTCCTAGGAAGAGAAGCCCCCTATGTGGTCCCTGGGCTGGGGCAAAGCAGGCAGGGTACAGGGGTGGGAGGGGAAGCTGAGGAGGTAGGTGGGCTGGCATTTGGTCCTCTCAGTCGGACCCAGCGCTTCTCCCAGCCTGTGACCATCCCAACGCCCTGGCAGCCTCTTCTTCTCCCCCTGCCCCATCCAGTCTGTCCCACTGGGTAGATGGGGACCGGCATGCAGTCAGACCAGGAGCACAGGCTGGGAGGGAGATGGGGCGAGCCCTTGGGGCCAGGGGCTGCAGCTGCTTAGAGGGGGTTTGGGAAGAGCCCAGGGCACAGTGGGAGAAGTCTTGTATCAGAGCTGTGCTGTGCCCCAGGCTTGCCTCTAAGGTGGCAGGGGTGTACAGCTGGATAAGTAGAAATTGGAGGGAGAGACCTTGAATGCGGGAGAAATCCCGAGGCCAGCACCCCCTGCACGCCTGGGAGCTCCTCCTGGGGTGACTGGCTCACGCTGGACCTCTGCTGTGGTCACCCCAGCCCCATCCCCCCAGACAAAAAAAGGGCCCAGGGCTTCTGGATGCATGTTGCCCTGTTAGGAGAGGAGGCTGTCCCCTCTCCCAAGACTACTGCAGCCCTAGCTGGTTTCCTTTCAGCTCGGGCACGAGACTTGGGGTGGTATCCAGTCCCCAGGCAGGCACCCCCAGACCTAGTGTTTCAAAGGGAGTTTGCACACCTCCCCTGGTGGCCTGTCCCCCTCTCCAGGGTCAGGCACCCGGGGACAAGCAGGCCAGGGCTACACTCCAGGAACCACAGCCGAGTGTGGACCCCACCGCCAACAGTCAGCACCTACCTTTTGGTGCGGGATCACCGGCAGAGGAGACTGGACCGGGGGCGCAGCCGTGGAGATGGGAATGGGGCGCTTCGACCTGGAGAAGCCAGAAATGGGACCAATGAAGACAGACACCCCTGGGGCCGGGGGAGCTCCGGCCTGGGTTGGGTGGGTGAGGGGAGGCAAGGGGGTGTCGGGCAGCCAGGTCAGAGGGCCTGAGCAGGCTGGAGAAGTCATGACTCTTGGGCACTTTGATGAGCACCCAGGGACCTCTGCCGTGTCCTTGCGAGGCTGCCTGGACCCAGCTGCCCATGAGCAGGAAGCAGCACCATCCCACCCTCAAGCTGACGTGCAAAGAAGGACAGGGACATCGGCCTCTAGTGCTCAGCAGCAACTTGGTCCTTATCCTTCCTCTGTTCCAGGAGGGTCTTCCTAACCCCCCTGCACAGTTTCAAAGCACAGGACTGGACGCATGCAATGGCTGCACCCCAAGCCCCACTGTTGGCCCCACACAGCCAGCTCCCCCCGACCCCCGCCCCGTCCCCGCCCCCAGAGAGTGACCACCTACTTCTGCAGAGTGAGGCTCAGGTTGTAGCTGGCAGACTTGATCTTGTTTTGGGCCTCCAGGTGGGTCATGGTGTCTGTGTTGACGCCGTCAATGGCCACCACGAGGTCACCCTGGCTGAGCTGGGACTGGGCTGCCTTGCTGCCTGGCGTGATCTGGTTGGAGACAGCAGAAGCGGGGAGAGTGGGTGTAAGGAGAGTGGTCTCTCAGCCAAGAGCCACCAGGCAGCATCAAGTCATGAAGTCTTCTGTTCACTGTGGACCGCACCAGCTGCTCACAAGCCAGGCTCCCCTGGCTGGCACTCTGTATCCGACTGCAGCCAGGGGGACCAGCTCCGGCCAGCGGGGTAAGGGTGGAAGTAATGCATGCCCCCTCCAGTTTGCTCGGTGGCTGTCTGGGAGAAGAGGAGGACAGCCAAGCCACTGACTGCGGGGCCTGGATCTTGGAGTCCCTGCCTGGCGGAGAGATGATTAAGGAGCACCCTGTGGGATATTGCATGAGTGACAGATAAGCTTTCATGAACAAGGTGATTGCAACTTGAAGGCTGTGTGTTGTAGGGCTTAGCATATTATCAACGCGCACCTTGCAAACCCAAAAAAGAGCACCTTCCAGGACCCAGGAGGGAAGGGCGATGCAGGAGCTAAGACTCAACAGCACCCAGAGACACTGTGAAGCCAGCAGGTGGGATAAATGCACCCGCACAAAAGCATCCTAGTGCAGGTGCTACTATGGCTGCGAGGGAGCTAGGTCGGCTGGGAAACAGGGCCGGGCTTAGGGCTCTGTGGCCAGCTTCGCTCATCCAGGAGAGGGAGTGCAGGTGTGTGGGCCAGAAAAATCCTGCACCCCAATGACACCACAACATCTTGAAAACTGGAGGCCCCCATCCCCAGTGTGACCACACAAAAGGCCAATGCGCCTCTACCTGGAGTGGAGGCGTATCAGGAGGGCTGCATCCCCAAGGACATTATGCACAAGGCCAGCTTCTGCACACCCAGCCGCCGGGGAACAGCACGCTGAATGCCATGCGGCCCATCCACAGTGATAGCATAGGCAACCCGAAATTCCAGAGAACCTGGTGACATCACCTAAGAAGGCATGGAGGACCCCCCCCCCAGTGACATTAGCAGCCCCCCCTCCCCAGTGACATTAGCAGCCCCACCCCTAAGGGTAAACCATGGCATGTCAAGGAGCCTGTGCTCCACCCATGACATCACATGGAATGCTGTGCACGCCTTTTCCCGGGACATCACGGGAAGGAGGAGGCTCTGGAGCACCCGGCCTCCCCAAGGTGTGGCTGCAGGGAGTCCCTTGGCTCTACCTGTCCAGCACACCCACCAACCAGTCCTCCTGGCACCTTCCTGGCTATAACCCAGGGACAAGGCCAGCTCCTAACACTGGCAGAAGCTGGATTCAAGGCAAGTCCCGGGGACCGTCCTTGAAGGAGCCCTGAGAGGAGCTGGGGACAGTCCCATGCCCCAGGCGCCAAGCCTGGGTGGGCCTCTGGCCAGGCCCTGGCTTTGCAGACTTGGATGGAAGCCTGCCCCAGCCCCTCGCGGGGAAATCCCATCCAAACCAGGGCACCCTGCAATCCACAGCCTCCACTCCACTCCCAGATGGGCTCTGCAGGGTGGGCCCTGAGTGGTGTCTGAGTCACCACATCACTGGTCCAAAATCACAAGTCATGGCAGCGAGGCCGGGAGAGCCCTCGCCAGCTGCTGTTGACCAGCATTGTAGCCCTCAGGGCCTGGGCGCCTTTGAGAATCTTGACCACCGCATGCCTAGCGTGCCTTTCCCCCACCCCCAAATGTGCTGGCTCAAGGCAGGGGCAGTAGAAACCAAGGCCCAGCTTGCCAGGAAAGCACTGTTGCATCTGCTTTGCCAAACCCAGCTGGCTCCCAGGGTCCAGAGGAGCGTTTTGAGGATGACTGGGGATTTCTGAATGCAGGAGAGGCCTTCAGAAGGTGCATGGGAAATGCGCATGATGAAAAGGCTATGCATGGGTTTCAAAAGTGTTTGCACCACAAGAAACTTCTCTTTTAATTCTACCTGCATGAACTTTTGAAGTACCCTTATGCTTACAGCCCTTGTCCCCAAATGTATCGTTAGCGACAAGAGTGGGTCACTGCCTTCAAATGTAGAAGATGAAAAAGGTTAAAAAAAATACAACAGCGAAGAAAAGCAAGATGCTCTGCTGTATAAGTGGAGTCTCCAAGCTAAGCCGAGAAGCCGGGCTGTGTTGCAGACGCCTCTGGCTTCCCCTGCAAGGCTATGTGACAATCCCTGGCTCTTTATCACATTATCAAACAGAAAAAGTGGAAAAAATCCTACAGGGAACACCTGAATATTCACCCACCGCCACGGCCCCATCTTAACATTCCTCTTAACTTCATCACACGGTGGTCCCTCTCCCCCTCCATTGGCCCAGCTTAGCTCTGCGACATTTCAAAGCGAGTGGCAGGTACCAGAGTGCTCCCTTTCCTGCAGGGATCCCTGACTGCAGCTCACCCCTCAGAAGGGCACTCCCCTAGTCAGGACACCCCCAGATGCTTCTAAAGACCTACAAAGATCATCACCCTGAAGCTCTGGGGTGGGCGGTAGCTGCAGACCCCATATAGAAAGAAGGGTGCCAGGCAGGACAGGTGTGTCCATAAAATTGGGATGACGGTGTGAGCAAAATGATATCCAAGAGAGGCCGGGCCAGGTCAGCCAGAGCTAGCCAGGCCGTCCGACTGTCCCCCCAGGCACCAGACAGTTTGCGCCGAAGCTGCCTTGCATAGGCCTCATCCTCAGGTGTGGGCTGGGGCCATCCTTGCTCCTGGGGGGAGAGCTCAGCCCCCATGGAACCTGGTCGGCAGCCAAGCAACCCACAGGGAGCCGCCGAGCTGGCTCCAGCCTGCCCCTGGCGCCTGTCTCCCTGCACCTGCGTGTGCTCGTCAAGGCTCAGCTCGCCTGGCCCTTGGCTGCCCTGAGCAGGGCCCAGGAACCCTCAGGGTGGGGGTGGAGGTGGGGTACTCCTGTGTGGGGGCACTCTTCTCTTCTGCTCAGATGTCCTTAGAGAAGGAGGCAGGAATCCTAAGGTGGCCACGGGCCATGGGATCCCCTTCCCCACCACTGCAGGAGCAGCCTGCCCAGGTGGGGGCAGGGCAGGGGGCACCCTTGCAGCTTGCCCAGAGTCCAGGGCTCAGGAAGTGTAAGGTTGCTCACCTGACCCTCTGTCCTCTCTGTTGACATCACCCCAGAAAAGGGCCCAAGCGCCTGAATCCTTGGAGGGTTATAGTTATCTTTCTATCCCCCTTTGGGCATTTAGAACCCTCTTTGCAATGAGTATTTCATTCCTACCCCACTCTCCAATCTTCTCTCCCCAACAGCCACCTGTCAGCTGGGATCCTACCCCCAGGCAGAGCCTGGAGAGGCCTCAGGGTGGGGACCCCAGGTCCTGGCTCCAGAGCTCCCAAGCACAGGCACTCGGGCTTTGCTGGGCCATGGTTGGTCTAGGGCACCCCCACCCCTGCTCCACCAGGACCACAGGGGTGATGGCTGATGCCAAGGCCACCCAGGCGAGCTGAGGAAGGAGGCGGCCGGCGTGGGAGGAGCCGAGCCTCAGCCTGCCCCATGCCCCCCAGCTCCAGGCCAGAGACTGAGCCTTTCTCTCAGGGTTCTTTCCAGGGTTGCATTGTTGAACAGGGTGCTGCCTAAGGAGGCGCAGGGCTGTGACAGGAACAGGGAAGCACAGCTCCTGACCCCAGGGGCTGCCAGAGGCCCGAGGCTGGCAGCCACACCCCCAGTTCTGAGCCGGCCTGCTGTCCCAAGGTGGGCCTGGGTGTCCGGGGAGGGGGTGGGGGAAGGTGGTGTCCAGGGTCCTGGGGAACCAAGGCACTGCCAGGGTTCAGCGCAGCTGTGAGGTTGGCTCCCAGCTCCCCGGCCCCAGGAAGACAGGCTGGGCTGGAAGCCATGGCTCCCAGCGCTCAGAGCTGTCCCATCTGGTGACGGGTGCTGCTCCGGCAGCTCCTTCCTCCCAGCCCTCGAGGACTGCCCCATGGCATCTGTGAACCATGCAACTGAATCACCATCAGGCCATGTTGCTGCCTTCCCATCTGGCCTCCCCAGGGGCCTGACCCCAGCCCTCACCTTCTCACTGGAACCTTCTGTCTCCCCGTGGCCCCCTCCCCACCAGCCTCTTCTGTGCTCAGAAGGCTTCTCTCTGCCTCATTTGCCCCCAGAGGCTTCTGCTCTGTTCTCTCCTTTCTCTACCTCAGATGGTGCTGCCTTCTCACACCCAGCCCTCCAGCTGAGGCCTGGGGTCCCTGCTCCCTCTGCTCAGTGACCACGCCCTGCCCTGCCTCTGGGTCCTGGCTACGGTCAGACACCCCTGCGGGCAAAGCCTGCCTGAGGCCTCCTAGGGCAGTTCCCACCAGAGATGGAGCTTGGCTCTGAAGGGGCAGAAAACGTGGGTTTAGAAGAGGGAGCCCGGGCAGGGGGCGTTAGCACTGGGGGCAACCAGCGAACTGGGTGGGGGGTGCCTCCCAGCCTTGTTGCTCCTCAACTCCCTCAGCCCAGGAAGCCCCTGTGCCGGCCTGCGTCCTGCTTAGGGACCTCCCAGGGTTCAGCTCTCTGGGACCCCTGCAGCCTCACGCATTTCCCCTCCAGAGCCCTGGGTGGGGTCAGTGGCAGCTCTCTGAGTGGTGGGGAGGGCCGGTGGGGGGCCCTCTGGGAAGGCATCCCCCGCTGCCTCTCTGCCCTTATCTTGCCCTGTTGGATGGCCAGCCGACTGGGAGGAGCCCGGGAGGCGTCCCTGACCTTCAGGGGGCTATAAACAGCTCGGCCTGTCAGCACTGCTAGGCGCTGCCCAAGAAACAGCACGAGGCCTCCAGCGGCTTCAAAATTCCAGGAATTGCCGGCACAGCTACCCCAGAATAGTCTCGACCTGTACCCCTCCTCTTCTCCCTCCTCAGGGACCCTCTGCACGCTGGGTCTGCGTGTACAGTAGCTGGGAGAGCCACTAAAGCCAGAAACCCAAACCAGCAGAGGGGCCAGCAGGGCAGAGTGCAGGGCACCCTGGGGATGGAGGCCCCATCTCTCCCAGCAGCCAGGGGTAAAGGCTTCCCACCAAGTTGCTCATAGAAAGCAACTGTCCCCACGGCCAGGTGCGCTGCCTTTTCTCAGGTGACACAGCCAGCGGGACAGAGGCACACACGCACGTGCTGCTTCCATGGACTCGGGGAGCTGCTCCCGCCCCGGCTGCTCCCACCCCTCCCCCACTTCCTGGAGAACTGGCGTGCAGGGTGGGGGGGTGCGGCACAGCTCATGTTGCAGGCCCACGCACCTGTCTGGGTTAAATAAAGGCATTCCCCTCCACCCTCTGAGTCCCCCTTCCCTGTGGGTCCTCAGACTGAGACCCACTGGACAGAGGCTGCCTCCTGGCCCAGGGTGAGGCCGTGGCACCTGTGGGCAGAGTAGGGTAGAGGTGGGGTTCTCCCGTTCTGCCCGCAGGTGTCTGAGAGGAGGAGAAGCAGTTGTATCTGCAGCTGAACCTGAGTTCCCAGCCTGAGTCAGAGAGGCGAGGGCAGGCATGGGCATTAGGGGTCACCAGGATTCCACCCAGAGCTGTCTCTGGCCTGTGAGGGAGAGGGAGTTTGGACACCTGGGTGAGAAGAGAATCCTGGCTCGGGGGTACAAGTCCCCCAGCTGGGAAGCAGCAGGGTCTGCCTTTGCTAGCTCCTCCCCTCAGCACCATATACCCCAGTGCCCTGCGGCAAAGGCTCCGGCCAGGATGCCCAAGCAGCGTCCACTGGCCCGTGGTGGGAAGCAGGTCATGGCTGGGATGGGATGCGGTTCCCCTGAAGAGCTCTGGCCCTGCCAGCCTGTGACAGGGGGACAGAAGAAACTTGCCCCAGAGGGAAACACCACCGCCAGGGAGGCTGGCGGGGCCGTGTGTCCGTGGAGCCTGCCTGGTCTGGAGCAACAGAACCCAGGATGCCAGCACCCAGCATATCAGCGGCCCACCAGTGGCATTTGTCAAAGGGCCGTGGATCCAGGGGAGGGCTCCAGCGGCCAGTCCAGCCCGCTGTGTGGCTTCGGTGATTTGGAGCATGGCCCTGAAGGAAGTCATCATACCCATCCCCGCCCCCCGCCCCCATCGTGCCCTCCCCAAGATGTGGCTTCTATTTTTAAAAGTGCCCCAGGCCTGGGCTCCAATGCATCCCCACACACCCCCTCCCCGCAGCGAGGACATTTTCCTGCCTACTGCCTCCATGCTGCCATTTAAGCCCCTGGGCTGCCAGGGCCAGGTGGTACATAGACCCTGGGTGAGGTCATTGGCTATCCTGGGTGCCACTGAGCCCGGGGCTATTCTGTACCCACAGCATGGGGCAGACAGCACACGTAGGAGGCTCTAGGGTGGTGGGTTTGGGGGACATGTGGGGTCACAATTGGGCAGGGGACGCCCCATCACGTTCCAGGAGGAGATGTGCACCATGGCGGGGGAACTGGGCAGGGTCTGGGGAGGAGGGAACCAGTGGGACTCAAACAGCCCCATGTCACCACCTCATTAGGCAAGGTGTGCAAGGCTCTGGGCATCTTTCACGTCTGGGACCCTGTGGTCTCCAGGGCAGTAGGTCTGGCGGGCGGCGACTACGGTGAGAATGAGCCAGAGCTCCAGCTGAAGGGGGAAGGGCCAGACATCTCCCCAGCCACAGCCAGGCCAGCAGCGTCCCGAGGAGCATAGCTCTGTAGGGTGCTCCTGAGTGGGGCTGCTTCTTGGGGAACCCCAAGTGCCCATGCCAGGTTCTAAAACCAAGACTGACCCTCTGCCCCCTCTGCCCCCTCTGCCAAGCACCTTCCCAGCCTTCTAGGCTGCCCCTAGCCCAGGGCGAGTCTCTGCCACCCTGAACAAGAAACAATTCCCCTGTTACCCTAGATAGGCAGCACCCCAGACACCCCTGCCCACACACCACCCTCCAGTGCAGCCTGGTGGCCTCACCCTGCCCCCTCGTGCCCAGACCAGCCCTGCCAGGCCGCAGCCACCAGACGGGGGCTGTACTTGTCCCTCGTGGGTGCCTCGCACTGCACCCTGGCCTTGGGACCTCCAGCCTCAGCTCTGTCTGGCCTTGCTGGTCAGTCCCTTTAATGGACACAGACACACTGAGCACCGACTACGTTCAAGGCCCTGGCCTAGGTGCCGGGGCCAGAGCAGTGACAGATCTTCCTCTACAGGACATCTGGCTTCTGGCCTTTCTGACCAGGCTTTGGGATCAGGGAATTGTCACCCAGACAACCCCCAACACTCTGTGCCACCCCCAGCAGTGCTGTCCCCAGTCACAAGGGCCATGTCCCCAGGGGAGCACTGGGGACCAAGACAGGAGATGCACAGGCAAAGCAGCCTTGAGGGAGGAGGGAGGAGCTGAGGCAGGCGCGCAAGGAAGGGCGAGGTCCCTGCAGCCCCAGGACCACAGAGGCAGGAGGGCCGGTGTCTCAGGTCTGGGATGGGATGGGTGCTGGAGTCCAGGAACTCATCCAGCCCAGCCCCACGCCACAAGAGCAGGGCAGCAGGGTCAACAGTGCATCCACTCGCCAATCACCTATCCTCTCCATGCCAGGAATGCCCGCCTCCCAGGGCAGCTGCCCACCTCCAGGGCAGGCAGTCTCCTGGCTGGAGGGGGCGGGGGGGGGCACCGTGAGCCACCCCACAGCAGGCTTGGGAAGTCTCTGAACTCTGGTCCCCTGCCTGCCCTGTAAACTCAGCCTTTCCTTCTCCGCTCAAAATACCCGCCACCTGCTCATGATGTCACGCGCCGCTAACAGACCCGCCGTCTCAAGAGAGCTGACACTGGCTGTGGCCAAAACCAGCAGAGTGGACCAGCCCTCGGGGTGGAAACAGGGAGGACAAGACAGACAGACAGACAGACAGACAGACACAGAGGCGGCCTTCTTGGAGTGCGGCCCGCCCCTCCAGGTGCCAGTCTGTGGGCCGTGCACACTCACCCTGGAGATGGTCAGGGGCATGTTGAAGTCTTTGCCCCCCTGCAGGCGGAAGCCCCAGGGCCCTGGCCCGGTCAGGGTCACGCTGTAAGACATGCTGGTTCCCACGGCAGATGCCCCTGTGGACAAAGGGGAGAGACGGTCGCATAAGGGGACACTCACGTACCCCACCTCCTCTGCCCAGACCTCTGCCCCAGAACCCGACCCCCAGTCTTGCCTGCTCCGTCCCTTGCTGCCCGGCCAGGCAGTGGGGAGCTCCTGAGCGGCTCCTAAGAATAGCTGGGAGGGAATGCCATCGCCGCTGATATCTGCCCTCTGCTGCACCCATAAATGGACTGTAACCCTACACTGTGCCCGCCCGCCCGTGGCCTCCCAGCTGGTCCACCGTGACTCACACGGCTAATATAGCCCCTGGGGAGGGGTGTCCGGCACCCAGCGGGCAGGAGGGGCGGCCTGGCCAGGTTAGTGATAACGCTGGGGCCTTGTGGCTCCCCCTCAGCCTGTGCAGAGCCCAGCCACTCACGTTCCACTCGGCCCGACCCTTCCCTGCCCGGGAGACCGTGGACTGAGTGCTCACAGGCAGGGGCTTTTCCACTGGGGTCTTGGCTGCTCTGTGCTCTCCGCTGGGGTCTCTGAGCTCGTGCCTAATGTAGCACGAGGGCCCTGGGGGTGCCTAGGACTGAGCTGAGCCTCCACTGGGGGCTGGCAAAAGCTTTGGCTCAGGACATGGGTGACTGGCCCAGGGCTGTCCAGCATTGAAAATGGTCATCATAGTTAGCAGCTCTGGATCTGGCCACGCTCAGCACAGGGCCCTTCCCACCATTATCCCTTTGGGTGACAGGAGGCTGCCACCTTGGCCCACGGAAACCAAGGCTCGGAAGGCTAAGTGACTTCTCCAAGGTCACACGGGGAGTGGACCCGCGCCACACTGGAGCCTGGGCTCACGCCAATGGGACTCCCGCCAGACAATGGGGCTCCTAGCAGCTGCAGGCACCTCCCACAACCCTGGACCTAAAGGGTTATACTCCTGCCCATACTCCTTGGCCAGGGTCTGGGGGCAGGCCTGGGGCGGGCCAGGCCCACCCACCCCCTGCAGGCCCTCTGGGGGCCCAGCTGGTTATTCCTGGCTCTCCTGCCTCATTTGTGCCCTGGAAAACTTGACAGCAGCATGGAAAGCCACAGCTGCCAGTTCTGCACGCCAGGCCCCCGTGCCCTTTCAGCAGGAATGGCAGGGACTGGGCGGGGGGACAACAGTGACAGAGAGAGATGTCATTTGCTCAGCTGCTGGGACACAGGGCCAGAGGGGCAGGGAGAAGAAGCCAGCAAGGTACGTTCAGCGCATACCCCAGACAAAGCGTGTCCTGGGTTGGGGGCCCTGGGTCCCCCTGGGACTCCTGCCAGTGTGGTCTTGGGCTCACAGTGTCCCTAAGAAGCCCTTCCCCAAAGAGATCCCAGGCCCTGTGTGGTCTGGAGACAGCACAAGGCTCACCCTGCCCCCCCCCCAGCTGGGGAAACTGAGGCTGGGAAAGAGACAAGCGGGTCATCTACTTGCTGGCCCCCTCTGAGCATTCTGACCTGGGCTGGCCCCGAGGACACAGTCACTGCCCAGCTGCCAGCCCCCCAGCCTCACACCCCAGGCCTGCCACACACAAGGGGCATGGCCGGGGCCCCTACATTACAGCGCTGTTTGGTAACTTGCCCAAAGTCACAAAAACATCAGGTGGAAGAAGCTAGGGAGGGACCTGTGTTCTCTCCCCAAGCTCAGCACCTCCCCTGCCTTGTATCACACAGACCTGCCTGTCCTTCGAGCCCTGGCCTGGCCCCGGAGGCCAGCACCACATCTCTCCCTGCTATGTCACCCATCCCTAGATTCAGCCTTGTCCCCTTGCCTAGGGGTGTCCATGCTGCGAGGTTGGGAAGGACCGGCCGCAGGGGAGGAAGGAAGGTGCAAAGGGAGTCGTGGGTGAGGCTGTACCTGAAGCTGCAGACTCTTTTTCCCCTGGACTCTGGCTTGCTCCTGCCTGACGCTCGCCTCTGGGGAAAGGGTGGGGTGGCAGGAGGATGCTCTTAAAAGGGGAAAGCCAGCCTCCCTCCTCTGCCTCCCCTGGGAGGCCAGAAGCCAGCCGGAGAGCAGCTGGTACCCGTGGACTGGGCGGAGCTCAACAGCTCACTGGGGAGAGGGGCCCGGCGTGCCTGGCCTTGCTCCCTCCTCTCTGCCTCCCTGCAGTTTGAGGTGGGCCCTTCGGGGGAGTGAGAGACCCGCGGTAGGGGACAAGGGGAGAGAAGGAAGAGAAGCTACTGGAAGCATCAAGGCCAGGCCCTGGCTCTCTCCCCTTGCAGCACCAGTAGGTAGAGACTGTATTTGTCCAGGAGATTTTGTCTGCTTTTTATTTTCCCCACGTCCGGTAACAGCCACCCAGCCCTGGGAGGAACTTGGACCATTGATGGGAAACAGAGGCAGATGCAGTATGTGTGTGCTCAGTGCGCGTGCACCTAGGCACCTAGGCACCTAGGGTAGAGCGTGCCTGCCAGAGCTGTGTACATGAGGGTGACCACAGCAGGAACCGTGTGCAGGCAAGAAGCCAGAGGGGCGGAACTGCTCCCGTCACAAAGTGAGCCTTGTGCTCAGCTTCCCCTCCCGGCAATGGAGACCATGCAGGGCTGGCCTTCCGGGGCCACTGAAGTGCCCGGCCCCGGGGGGCACAGACTGGTGGAGATGCCTCCTGCATAAATAGCTGGCATGTCTCCTGGAGCTGTCACCATTGTCATCTCGGGGACAATCACAGCACACAGCGGTTTGAGGGGAGGTGGGGAGGTGGGGGACAGGACGGCTGTTCAGCTGGGCCCAGAGTGGGTGCTGCTGGCCAGGCTGCAGGGTGTGGGGAGGGGCTGTGGGTGCAGCGTGGAATCACTCTCAGAGATTGAGGCTCGCAGTCATCCTGGGTGTGTGTGTGTGTGTGTGTGTGTGTGTGTGTGTGGTGGGGGGCGGACGGCAGGGGGCTGTGAGGAGGGCGCTAGACGTGCTCCAGAAGAACCAAAGGACGTCCTAGGTCCTGGGGTCCAGGCAGGGGCGCAGCCTCTTGGTCTGAAACAAACAGCACACATCCGTTAGCACCAGGAGTGCGGTTTGAGTCAAGGGAGGTTGCCGGAAGGGCTTGGTTGCATCCCAGGGTGGGGCTGGGCCCCTGGGAGACCAAAACTGGGGACAGGGGCCGGCAGAGTGTAATCTCTGGGGCACCCGGCTGGGGACGGGGCTCCTTATCACCCACTCTCCAGTGCCTCTGCTCTCTCCCCTCCTCCTCGCCCCTCCCCCAGGGAGACCCCGAGCTACTCACCCTTGCCTGCCCTGCAGCACTGCCTCCTTTAGGCTCACACTACAGGCTGACTGCTTTCACCCAGGGCCTGCCCAGGCCACTGCAGAGGGGCCTGGCCACCCTGCACAGCTGACCCAGGCCCTCCCAGGCTCTCAGTCCCACAGGGGCAGATCTGGAAACCCCGCAGGCCAGCAGCTGCTCGGGCCTGTCCACTGTGCCTCCTGCGCCTCCACCCTTCATCAATGGCCCCCATCCCTGCCACCCCCGGGGACACTGTGGCTGTTCCCTGGGTCACTGAGAGGCATCCAGTGCCTGTCACAGAACAAGCTGAGCTGCCTCTGGGCTCCAGCCTTGCACAGGCTGTTTCTTCAACCTGGATGGCTCAGTGTCCTCCCCTCCCCCAAGGCGGCCCCACCATCTCTGCTTCACAACCACCTTCCCTGGGGACCTTGGGGACTTGCCACTGTTCCCGGCACCCTGTGTGCTCAGACCGGTGCTTATCACGTGTTTGCTGACTGCTGATGGCCCACGCTTGCCCAGTGCCCCAGCCTAGCCCAGTCTCCCCCAGGCACTGCGTGTGTCATTGCTGCCTGGCCAGCCTGGGGGCCACGGCCAGGCCTGTGTCCTATGCACCTCAAGCCTAGGGCTCTCAGAAAGGGAGTGCAGGGAGCAGCAGGGACCACCCAAGTGCAGAGCGGCCCAGGGCTCCCCGCTCATGGACACACAGAGGCGCGGCATTAGGGAAAGAAGGTGGGAGCCAGGGAGCACCCAGGGGCCTGTGTTGCAGGGTGAGAGGAGGGCAGGGTGGGGCGCTGTCAGCTGAGGGGAGGGGCTGCCCGGGGTGCCTGTGCACACACATTTCCAGCGTTCCGGAATGCGGCCTTCTCTCATCCCCATCGACATTCCGTTCCATAGGCACTTGGGCTGACAGCTGGCTTTCTTTTAATAGCCACAAGCATTCTGGGTGACACGGATCCCGGGGCATTCGTGGTGAGCATATACACAGCTCGCAGCCCCCACCCCAGCCAGTCCAACCTCACTCAGTCACACACATGGTACAGAGCAGACGCGCCAGAGCCTGCTCTGTCACGTGTCCTGGGATGTCACAGGGCCAGAGTGTGTGCTGGGCATGTGGTCACACACACACGCCCCTAAGTTACACACCTTCATGAATGCACACTCTCTCACACAGCCTTCAACTGCAGCACCTGCCACCTGTGTGTGCATTTACACGCAGACACACCCGAGAATGGCCACAGATCGCAAGCCATGCTCAGAGTGGCTCGGACTCACAGAGACCCCGGGTGGGCAAAGAAAAGGCAGGGCGGGGGGTGGGGGTGACTCCCAGACAGCAGTGGGAGCCTGCCCCTAAGAACAAACCCCCTTTTTCCTGGCCACTGTCTTGGTAACTGGCCTCTGCTCTACCCCTCACCCCCACCCCTTTTACAGATTGGCAGGTGCTAAGTCAATCACCTTCCTGGGCGTCTCAGCTTCTGGTCCCTGGCGCCTGGGAGTGGCTTTGATTTCCCCGTCCTCCAGGCCCTGACCACAGAGGTACCGTCCACTCAGTTGCAGGGCAGCCCCCCATGCAGCTGCTGCCTCGGTGTCTGTCCAGCCCTGGGGAGGTGGAAGAGTGACTGTGAGGGGGGAAGGACAGTCCTCAGCCTTGCTCCTGTCCCCTCCCCGACAGGGACCCGTGGCATTGCTTGTCCCAAATCCCTGTCAACTGTGTGCACCTGTGCCAGGGTATGTGTGTGTGTGTGTCTGCACCTGCATGCCTGCCTTCCTGCACCTGGGGGTGTTTCTATTATGAGGTGGATGAGAGGTCTTCATGAGGGTCTATATTTGATTCACTCTCCGTTGTTCACTGCAATGGTTCAGGGAGGGGAGCCCAGCCCATTCTTCCTGGAGCCCTTGGGAGGAGATGGCCAGTCAATCTGGCAGCCCTGGCTCTAGGTGAGGCCACAAAGGGCCCTATAAGCAGAAGAAAAGGGGCTGACACTGTGGCATAACATGTTAAGCTGCCTCCTGCAATGCCAGCATCCCATCTGGGCACTGGTTCAAATTCCGGCTGCTTCACTTCCTATCCAGCTCCCTGCTAATGTGCCTGGAAAAGCAGCGGAGGATGGCCCAAGTTCCTCTGGCCCCTGCACCCATGGTGGGAGACCCAGATGAAGCTCCTGGCTCCTGTCTTCTGCCTGGCCCAGCCCTGGCTGTTGCAGTCATTTGGGGAGTGAACCAGTAGATGGAAGAGTTCTTTCTGTCTCATCCTCTCTCTCTCTTTGTAACTTTGCCTTTCAAATAAATAAAAATAAATCTTTTTAAAAAATAAATAAATGGCAGAAAAAAGGAAAGCAAAAGCACCAGGGACAGGAGCCCACAGTGCAGGGGGACACAGCGGGTGCCAGAGCTATGGGCCCCAGGAGGTTTGACAGGCCGGTTCCCAGGCCAACACCCTCTGTGGGGTCAGTATCCACCATGGTCACGCCCCTACCCCTTGGCCGGTGTGATCTAGAGAGGTGGATGGCCTGCCCAAGCCCTGCAGCCAGTGCTGCTTGCCCTGCAGCCTTCTCGGCTCCCAGGCCCGGGGGCTCAGCACTGAGGAATCGGGGTCCCTGATCTGGCGGCTGCCACGTCTCCTGGGGGCCCACCTGGGCCAGGACACTGATCTTCTGCAAGAGACAGCCTGCACTTTGGAAGACAGGTTCACTCTCGGCCCTACCCCTGGGTGCCCTCTCTGGTCCCAGGGCTCCTGATGGTCAGGGAGGATGATGTCATGGTAGGGGGCTCCCCAGGGTCCTGAGGGTCCCGAGTCCCCCTCCCAGAGCCCCGGGCCTGGCTGAGCATGGGATGGCGAGGACCCAGCAGCCTTACCACCTCGCTCTCGGAGCCCAGGGACTCCTGGCGCCTTCGGCCTGAGATCCAGCTGAGGTCGGAGGCCTGGCTGCTCAGGGTGGAGCGGTGGGTGGAACGGTAGCTGAGGGAGGGGCGGCTGTGCCGGCCTGACACGCCCAGCAGCACCCCCAGGCAGGGCAGGTGCTGGGCGATGGCCGCCCTGAGGGGCCGCACGTCTGGTTAGGATGAAGGGATTGGTGGACAGACACAGGGTGGGAGGGGAGGGGTGGGGCGGGCAGATGGACACAGACCTAGGATGGTTGGACAGAGAGCCACTGGGGAAGAGGGGAGGCTTAGACGTGGGGTCCATGAAGACAGCCACCCAGGTCATGGGAGGTGATGAGGATGGACAGACAGACGCAAAGCAGATACCAACTGGCTCTCAAGCTGGTGGGGATGGACAGACAGACACACTGGGGCCGGGGACCTGGAGGAGAAGCTTAGGGTAGCAGGGTCAGCTGTTGGACATCGGATCCAGCCCTGGCAGGCTTGGTGCCAGCCACATCTCAAGGAGCAGCTGGGGCTACACAGGCTGAGGCCCTGCAGCCAGCTGCAGAGGGTACTGAGCAACTGACACCACCAGGCCAGCAGAAGAACAGGGGCCTATGGGAGAACTGCCATCCTGGCCGCCAGACACCCAGCTCTGAAGACCCCAGAGTTAGCACTGGGCACTGCCCCGGGAGCCCTGACTGCACTCCAAGTCAAGCTCCCAAGGAAGCTGGGGCAGGGGAGGGGTCACACCAACTCCAGACCCCACCCAGGGTCACCAACATGACACCGGCCCCTTCCCAATGGACATATGAGACGGGACAGGCCACGGCCCTTGCTCCCACCTGCAGCCCCAGGCCCTCCATGCCTGTGGGTGGGTCCTGGGGGCTGGAAGGAGGGCCCACCTGTACTTGGGATGCGTGATGGCGTAGATGATGGGGTTGTGGATGGCAGAGGCCTTGGCGATGACAGCCGGTACGGAGTTCATGTAGGGCGACAGGCTGTGTGCGTACCTAGGACAGAGAAGGTGCAGCCGTCCCCCCAATGAGCCTTCTTCCTCTGGGCCAGACCCAGTGTGGCCCAAAACAACACAGCCAAGTCAGCCCCTAGGGAGGGGCCAGCAGGGCCAGGGAGGATTCTGCACCCAGGAGAGTGGGGGGAAGCTGGAGGTAGTTGAAACTGAGGCTCGGGGAGGAAGACATGCCCGCTCGTGGGGGTTCCCTGTCCCAGAGTCCAGCCTGGGCTGCCCCCCTTGACCTTGACCCTGGCCCTGTGCCCAGCTTTTCCCACACCCCACTCCACCCTGCTGCCCACTGCTCCTCTGCCTCTCTCAGAAAAAGCTCCCAGCAGGGCCTACACAGGAAGATCCTGTAGCCAGACAGGGGCAAGCTTCAACAGCTTTCACTGTCTACACCCACTCAGCTGCAGGCGCCAACGTCCCCAGACTCTAGCCATGGAGCACCGAGGCCATGCCTGGATGTGACAGCACCCCTGGCTGCTACCCGCCCCAGGCAGAGGGTACCGAAGCTTCAGGGAGAACTGCGTGTTCCCAGAGGTGCTGGCAGCCCTCGGACCAGATCTGGTGCAGCCCAGAGCTCCCTGGCCTGTGCCCAGGGGTCCCCAGGGCCAGTACCCCCTGGATAAACTGTCCCACACAAGGAGAGAAGAAGGTTGTGAGGTCAGAACCTGGGCTTGAGGGTTGCTGGCTCCATCGGGCCATGAGGGAGGGGCGGCCCAGGGTTCCCTGCACCCACCACGCAACCTTTCCCCCACCCTGGCCTTGAAGCCCCTACCCACCCAGCAAAGGCCACCAGTGCCACAGTGGAGTACGGAGCCCAGGAGAGCAGGAAGAGAAGGATGACCAGCAGGGCGACCTTGGCCATCTTCCACTCGCTCTGCAGCCGCCGCCACTGCCGCCGCTGCGGGGACTCGTGGCTGCCCTGGCAGGCCCTAGGAAGGGTGCACAGTGTGCTCTGACCCTGGTCAGGCAGACTGAGAGCCAGGGTCACTGCTCACATTGAGGAGCCCCCACCCCTGGACTCGGGGAGATTCAGAAGGGATCACCCAGCGCAAGCAGCCCTGACTTCCAGGAAGTTCCCCACTGCATCCAGCCTCAGCTCCTCGCCTGTGATGGCACCGGGGCTGTCTTCTCCACCATTTCACCCGTACCTAACAGCAGGTGGCTCAGAAGTAGGGGTGCCACTTCCCGAGGCACCCTCCAGCCCTATAAGCACATGCTGCTTAGCTTGTCTCGGCCTGCCTGGAGCTGGGGCACTCCCGTGGGTGGGTGCCAATGAGTCCTGGGGCAAGGGCCACCCTGGCTGAAGAGGCCCAGCACTCACCGGCCTGTCTCCCGGATGGCCCTGAAGATGAAGATGTAGCAGTAGACGATGACAAGCAGGGGCAGGAAGAAGACGAAGCAGAAGAGAAGCATGGTGTAGGAGCGCACGGACGGCGTGAAGGTGACGTAGTCCCAGGAGCAGGACGTCAGCAGCCCCTCGGGCACGTAGGCACCTGGGAGCCCGAGGCAGGAGCTCAGACCCTTGGGCGGTGCCACCAGAGCTCCCTGTCCAGCAGCAGTTTTGTATGTGGGGTTCAGGGTCCCTGAACACACACCTGGCCCCCTGCACCAGCCCCGCCTGGCACAGTGAGGAAGCCCAGGCCAGTTGGGGAGCACAGAGGGAGCTTTCTGAGCCAGTTCTGCAGGGGGTGCAGGTTCGGGACGCAGCAGGCAAAGCCCCCGTAGCGCATGCTTGTGGTTGGAGAAGAGGCCTCACTGTGGCCCCCAAAGCATGCCCCCCAAAGCTTCAGCTGGTGGCCTGGTCTGGCCTTTCTCCCCTCTGTCCTGTCCACACAGACCTCGCTCGCCGGCCCCTGCCTTGTCTGACTTGTCACTGCACGCTGAGCAGCAGATGCACCTGTCACTTCACCCCACCCCATATTTGGAAATGGGCTGTCCTGGTGACCCTCGGGCTCCTGATAGGGCAGCCTCAGTTTCCCCTGCTGCTAGTCAAGCCCCCCGAATGTCCATCTGACCCCAGGTTCAAGTGGTCCCTGGGTTGTACCCACCTCCCTGCCCCCCCACCTGGACCAGTTCCACCTCCCTCCCCTTCAGCTGCCCCTCCCAGCCCATCTGCTCCTTCCCCAACGCCACAAGCCCCCACTTACTCCAGCCGAAGAGGGGCGGCAGACTCCAGGCCAGGGCATAGAGCCAGACCCCGAGCAGGACCAGCCCTGCCCGCTTCTTGGACACCATGCCAACGGCGGCCAGCGGGCGTGTGATGACCAGGTAGCGGTCCAGGGCGATGGCCGTCAGTGTGATCATGGAGCTGATGCCAAAGAGGGCCCCACAGAAGGCATAGAACTCGCAGCCTGTGGGCACAGCCGCTGCCCTGAGTGCCCAGGAGGGAGCGTCTGGGGCCGGAGTGCCCTCAGCTCCTCCCTCCCCCAGGACAAGCGGCTTGGCCAGGAGGGCGGGGGCCTCAGGACTGATCTTCCCCTCCGGTTCATTCATGGGACCCGTTCTCTGCCTGCGAAGAGGAAGTCTCCCCTCTTCCTCTGGGCCACCCCCCAGCGTGGGCATCCCCCCTGTCAAGACCTCCCTCCCCCTCCAGCAGAAAGGAGCCCCAAGTGTCCACCTGTCTCCCCGAAGAGCCACCGCTTATAGAGGCTGCTGGCGAAGAAGACGGGAGCCTGGGTAAAGGACATGAGGAAGTCGCTGACCGCGAGGTTGATAATGAACATGTTGGCAGGAGTGCGCAGGCTTCTGCTCCTGTGAGGGTCGGGCGCCATCAGGAGGGGCTTCCTGTGTAAGTGAGCCTCCCTCACCCCGCCACTATGCGTGTGCACACATGCCCATGCGTGTGTCCCAGAGCCACATGCACACACGCACATGTGGAATCCACACACGTGTGTATCTCAGATCCACACATGCACATGTGGGATCCACACACGTGTGTGTCTCAGACCCACATGCACACATGTGGAATCTCACACGTGTGTGTCTCAGACCTACACACACATGCGGATTGCACACGCCTGTCTCAGACCCACACATGCACATGTGGAATGCACACATGTGTGTGTCTCAGACCTGCACACACACATGTGGAATCCAGAGTCACACGTGCACACATACACACACATGTGTGTGTGCAAACAGGCACGAGCTGCTGGGCCACAGACGTATCCCACAGTCCATCAGGGGCCAGCTGAGCAAGTCCTTGGGAGCCAGGCAGTAGGGGCTGAGCGGGCACCCCCAGGACGGCTCCCTCAGACCCAGGTGGGAGAGCAAAGCCTCTCCAACCACTGCTGAGGCACCCAGGGGAAGTGGTGCTCGGGGGCAACAGACCCTCCTCTCGCCCCCTGCAGGACTCACTCTCTCCTTGGATAAATCTCTCCAGGCCAAGGTCTCCCTAGGGACTTCTCCCCAGGCACCTGCCTCCATGTGCCCGTCCTCATTCTCCTTCCCACATCCCATCAGGCCTGGTCCTGCCGGCACAGCTGTCTCTGCCACCCTCACCCTCAGAGTAGCTGGTGACTGTGACCAAGGGCTAAGCACCTTCACAAGCCTTTGCAACGACTCCTGAGAGAGGCATGATTGTCCCCATTTCCCAGATAAGAACACTGAGTCCCCCATTCACAAGGTGACCAGCTCCAGCTCACAAGGCTCAGTTAGTGGCACAGTCAGAATTTAAATGCTGCCTTACAGGGCAGTGCACATGTGTGGAGTTACACAGTCATCCTTTGAGTCCTCAAAGTAAATCACAGCTCCAATTGACAGACCAGAAGAGGGAGTTCAGAAAAGTCAAGTGACTGGCCCACTCTTTCCGCTCATAGGTGGTGGAGCCAGGGGCTGTGCAATCCTAAATCTGTACCCACTTCTCTACCCGTCCATCTCAGCCATTCAGCCTGCCAGGGGTCAGATGGGTGGGAAGCAGCAGATTGCCAGGGGTGGCTGCAGATGGGTTTGAGCCCCGCCCCCAGGGCTGCTGTTCAAGGCAGATGGAAGACACCCCTGGGGCAGGTGACAGGTGAGCTGAGTGCAGGGCAGAATAGAAAATCCAAGGGTTCTTGGAGGCACCTGCCTTCCACAGAGAGGATGTACCATGTGCCATTCAAACTGCCCTGGGCCAACTTTTGTTTCTTTTTTCTTTTTTTCTCCCCCTCCCCGAGCTTGAGAATCAAAGCCCAGGCCTGAGACTACAGAGGGCTTGCATCTGACCTCCCCTGGAAGTCCCAGCATCATCCTGAACATAGCTGGTGCCGTCATTCCCACCCTCATGTTCTGCCCTGTGCCAGCCTCAGTGCCCTGGGCCCGCCCCCACCAACCAGGCACCTGCAGAAGGTATAGATGACTGTCAGATTGCCCAGCATCCCCGTGAGCCCCACCAGTAGGATCACGGTGCCCAAGGTGTAGTGGGCGTGGTCTGGAACATCGACAGTGGGGAAGGGGACCCAGGCAGCCTCCTGAGCCCCAGGAGCCTGTGGAGAGACAGAGCGACGAGCATCACATTAGCTCCTGTCACTTTCAAATGTAGCCCAAAGCAGAGCTAGGGTCCCCAGCAGGCAGGTGGGGAAAGTGAGGTGCTGAGTGGCCAAGGCACTTGTCCACACAGCTAGCAAGTGGCTGAGCTGGAATTGAACTAAGGGTCTTCCTACAGTCAGGTCCAGCTCCTCTGCTAGAGCTCAGAGGCAGACGGCGTCCAGGACTGGGCTCAGAGCAGCTGCTGGAGGCCGGTCGGACAGTCACGTGCCTGGCAAGCAAAGATGTGGCTGGGGTGACCCCAGCTTTCTCCAGGGAGAAGGCAGGGCCAACCCCTAGGTGTCTCCCTCCCTGCTGTGTGGACTCCGTCCCAAGTGCCTAAGACGGTTAAGGGCAGTCAAGGTCTCTGTAGACTGCGGGGTGGTGGCATTGGGCGGAGTCCCTCTCCTAGGCAGTTCCACGCCTTCCGTGCCTCAAAGGAGAAATTGCCTTCTGCGACCGGCACACCTGGCTGGTGCTGACCTTGATGCCCGGCATAGGGGGCAGGGGTAGGAGAATCCCTTTTAGAAAGGGAGCCGAGGCCTCCCGGGATCACTGCAGAGAGGGGAGCATGGCGTTTTCCCCGTGAGGTCAATACGAAGGGCTTTGAAGCCATTGCAGCCCCTTGCCAAGGAAGGGAGGTGGACCAGGCTTCTTCATGTCCCAGGGGTTCCTGTAGCCCCCAGGGCCTTCCCATTCTGTGCAGGACCTGGACCAACATCCCAGCGTTCAAAGGGCGCCCTCGGTCCCCCACCCCGCCCCGGTAATGGTGGAGTTGATGGGGTGTGGCCTTGGGGCTCTGATCAGGGCTGGGGCAGCAGCGGCTGGTGCCCTGCTCTGGGCTGCACAGATCCAGCGGCTCAGGGTCTGAGGGCCCTGCCTTTCTCTACAGGGCATCAGACCAGACTCTGATAGCAGCCCAGGGCAGGGCCCTTGTCCTCAGGGTTGGCCTGAGAATGCTTTCTCTCCACCTACACCCTCTTCTCTCAGCCGGTTCACCTGGGGCAGGTCCAGAGAGGGCCAGTAGCAGGCCTGAGGAGCTGCAGCCAAGCCCAGATCCCTCCTTCTCCCTGTCAAAGCAGGAGGGCAGCAGGAAGCAGGGAGGAAGGCACTGTGCATGCACGCGCTCCCCGGGGCTTACCGTGGGGCTGCCGGGCGTAAGCTGGCCAGGGCTGGAGATGCTGCTCTCAGAGCCGTCCCACCTGCTGGGTGGGGCAGCTGTGCTCCTAGGCTCCTGGGCTGGTCCGGGAGGGACTCTGGATCCCCAAGGAGAGTTCATCCTTAGGTGTGGTGGTCCTTGCTCGAGGCCACAGAGAAGTCAAGGGCATGGGGAGCTCAGGACACACGCTGTGCCAGCCTCACAACTTCCTCCATCCTCAGCACCCCTGCTGGGTCTGCCTGTGCCTGTGTCTGGTGCAGACCCAGCCCGATGACCGTGCGATGCCAGCGAAGCGCAAAGGAGCCAGTGTCACAGTCACAGAGACTCACAGCTCCTTTAAGTAGTGTGCTGGGGGCTGCACAAGCTCAGTCGCTCCCAGCCCCAGGCTCCCACAGACCCAGACCCCTGGGTGTCTGTCCAGGGAGGTCTGATGATGGTGGTGTGAATGTGTGTGTGTGTGTGTGTGTGTGTGTGTCCACACACGCATGTCAGGGGACACTGCTGCGCTTGGCTCCTGGGCACTGGGCAGAAAACTTTACTCTCCTCTCCAACAACTCCTCTTCTTTCCCTCACCAAGATCAGCCTCTGCCGTCCCAGGCACCTCCAGGGCTATTTGTGGGCAGATGAACATGTGGAGCTTGGCCCCGCCATTCCCACAGTGGCCTCGCTTCCCTCTCTGGTCCTCGTGAGCCCATAGCATCCTTTCAACATTTTAAAATTTGTTTTCCCCTTCCCAGCAGGTGCTGACCAACCCTAGGACCTTCCCCTGCAGGTCTCCGGCTCATGCAGGCTCACCCTGGCATGGGTGACACTGCCCGACTGGCAGTGCTGTCCTTAATGGGAAAGTGGACACACCCACAATGGCTTTCAACTTTGGGAGCCTCTGCGCTGGGAGCAACCCTGGGCCAGTGCGCAGCTCCATGAAGCACCTGCACCCCCTGTCCCACCCACTAGTTAGGGAGGATGCAGGGGTAGCTGCTGGCACCCACGCGGCTCCATGGCCTTGTTTTCAGGCTGAGCACTAAGCTCGGGCGCCAGGCAGTCTGGGTGCGGCTGCCAGCAGCGGGGGGGTGGGGAGGGCGCCAGCTGACAGCACCTGGGGACTTGACTGCAAGCTGGATTCGCACAGTAGGGTCAAGTTCAGGGGTAGCTTCTTGCCTAGAGGAGGGGACAGCAACCATGGAACCTACCCAGCTTGGGACTTGGCGACCAGGCTGGCCTGCCCTGGGACCACTACAGACACTCAGTCCCTCTGGTCACCCAGTCTGCTCCTACACGGCTCCCTGTCCCGTGTTCTGAGTTTCATTTCAAATATCACCTTGTCGCAGCCATCAAGGGGATGTCCACACCCTCCTGGGCACCCTCTGCAGCACACATGGGGTGTCACTTACAGTGAGCATCGCCTGATTCTCTGTGTCTCCCGCCCAGAATGACAGACAGGGCTGTTACTCTCACCTCTGCAGCCCACCATCCAGCAGATCGCCTGGCACATCATACCAGGAAATGCAAACCTTCCCTGCCCCCAGCTTCTCAAAAGTGTGACCCAAGGATTGGTGCCATCAGTGTCACCTGGAGCCTGTTTGACATGCAGGGTGCCCAGACCTGCCCACACAGATGATCCATCTGGATTCTTCCAAGGACTTTAGGGTGGGTGACAGGTGGTAGGACAGCTGACCTTCTGGACACTGAGATGAGTGACAGCAGGACACAGTGCCACTCCCAAGGCTGAGGCCATGAATCCAGGGTTGAGATTGTCAGGCAGGGTACCTGCGTGGGGGAGGATGGGGGGCTCTCTAGAGCCAGGCTGTGGCTGCTGGACCCGACCCCGCGGTGACTGAAGCAGAGCCGTGGGTCCTCCCTCGCTCTTGTCTTCTGCAGGTGCCTTACCATGGCTAAGTCTACCTGGAATCTAAGACAACTGGTTGGACATCATTCCCAGTAACAAAGCAGAGTCGGGAAAGGGGCAGCTCTGCCCCGGTGTGACATCTCCCCATCCCTCGGCAGCCAGTGGGCGATGGCGCCCCCCACCCCCACCCTTCTGCAGTTCACCTGCTCCTTGATACCCCCATCGCAACCTTGGCTGCTCACGGAGGTCCCCTGCGCCCAGGGGTGTGGCTCTGCCTAGTCCATGTCTGAGGTGCCAGGGCACAGGTGAGCTCAGTCTGGCCTGGGAGGCTGCTGGCCATCACATTCTTCCTGCCCTGCCCCTGCCCCAGCTACCCCACACACACAGAGGTGGAGGGAGGGGCTGAGTGAGCTCTGGGGACCCAGGGCCCCTGCCCGAAGCTCTGCTCTTCACACCTTGCTGGCGAGGCAGGAGGTGGGAAAAGCTTTGCAGCTCCCTGAGGCCTGGTGGTGAGCAGAACGGGGAGTGTGAGAGCTGAGAGCCCTTAGGGCCGGGTCGGGGCAGATGTGGGGTCCTCCCTTTAGGGGGCTGGCACCTCAGCGTCCACAGAGCCCCACGCCAACTTCACTTATGGGCCTGTGGAGCCCCTGGATTCCTGTCCTGCTGAGAGCCTTCTCCAGAAACGCTGATGGCAGAGGCAGGCAGGCAGGAGGCTCCTGGCTCCTGTGTGTCTTCATTTCTGGCCCAGCACCCAGGGGTCAGGTCTCCCTGGCCAGCCCAGCCAGCCGCCCTGGAATGCCTGCCCTGTGCCAGGCCCTTCAGTGCTAGCCTGGGATCAGCTTCCCCATCCTGAGCCTGGCACAGGCTATCTGGTTACCCAGAGACTCCTGGGAAACTCCTGTGAGCTGTTGCTGGGAGAGGATTGTATGACTCAACCACCACCTTAGTCCTATAGGCACCTGGCCAGCTGCTCACCTGGGATCTGGCAAACTCTGTCCCGCTGGGACCCTCCTCCCCATGGCTGGGAGGAGGAGCTAGAAGTACAGAAACTCAACAAATCCTTCTTTTTCTGCTGCCTATGCTGTAGAACAAACAGCCCTGCCCCTTCCCCAGCCCTAGGTCTAGAGACACGCCCCCACCCCTACCCTCACCCTGTGTTAGCCTGCCCACTGGGAGTCAGCCAAGTGACCCAGGGGTCCTGCTGATGGCCGAGGGCATCTGAGATCCTTCCGATCCTAGTGCCCGGCCACCCTGACCTCCCACTCCAAGATGCTCCCATTGAGTTCCCTGCTGTGCAGTCCGTGCCAGCTCCCGGGAGGGGTGGAAGGTGGCACAGAGTGAGACTGCTTCCTGCCCCACCCCCCAGAGCACCTGTTCCACCTCCTGGTTTTTCACTGGTGGCACTGATATCCCTGACCTAGGGGCTGACCCTGGGTGCTCAGGGCCGTCCCCAGTGCTGGTGCTGCCGACCTGCGTGTGGACTCCCAGGGAGTCCAGTCTGGGGAGCTCCAACATTGTTCCCTCTGAGTGTCACACATTTGTTAAACCCCTGCCGCAGAGTGCCACATCCCAGGCTGGCATCCCACCCCGTGGCTGCCCTGAGCAAGCTCGCTGTAAATAATCGGGAGGGTGACACTGTCCCAGCCTTGCCCCAGAAGGTGGCCTGTTCCTTCCTGAGCTTAGTTAACAGGGTCAGATGGGAGGGGCAAGACAAAGGAATTAGGAAACAAGAGGGTAGAGGGGAACATGAGAAAGGCCCAAAGAACAAACTTTGATCTGAAAATTGACTACACACCCAACGGAAGCATGTGGGTATAAAAAACACCCACCCAGGGGGCGGTCCTGTATTTCCCATACCTCACTCTGGCACACCCAGCGGCTGGTCCAAAGCAGGAGCTGGCTACTTGGGGCCTGTGCCATTTCCTTGTTTGCATCCAGATCGTTACGACTGGAGTACACATACCCAGGGACTGTGTACTATTTTTTTTTAGATTTATTATTTATTTAAAAGGCAGAATGACAGAGAGGAAGAGACAGGGAGAGGTCTTCTACCCACTGGTTCACTCCCCAAATGGCCAAAATGGCCCCAGCTGTGCTGATTGGAAGCCAGTAGCCAGGAGCTTCTTCCGGGTCTTCCACGCAGGTGCAGGGGCCCAAGGACTTGGGCCATCTTCTATTGCTTTCCCAGGCCATAGCAGAGAGCTGGATCGAAAGCGAAGCAGTCGGGTCTCAAACTGGCGCCCATATGGGATGCAGGCAGCAGCTTTACCTGCTACGCCATAGCACCGGTCCCAACTATGTACTTTTTTGACCTTTTAGTGACAAGCTGGGACGGCAGGAGAAGCAGTTTTAGTCCTCAGTGTGTTTAGGTGGCGGTAACCAAGTGTCCCAGGCGTCCCTGCAAAGTGGATCTGTCTGAGCAAGAGAGGAAGCGAGCAGGCCACCCACTTCGATTTCTGACAGCTCGGAGAGGCGGGAGGAAATCCACAGCAAACACCAGCGATGTTCCCGGTAAAGACCCATTCCCACATACAACAGTGTTTCCAGTCTGTTCTGTGACCACCCGCAGCCCTTGTTTCTCTGAGCCGTGCCTGGGTAGCACTGGAAGGGCTCGGCAGGAAAACCCTGCCTTCCAGTTTTATTTTGGTTTACCTTCGGGTGTGACTGTAGCCGAGGCAGCTCTGCAGGCAAAACCCACAGCTGTGAACAGGGTAAACACCACGCCCCCTCAGGCTGGTCTGGTCCGCCTTGGCTGGTGGTCCAGCTTTGCCTCTGCTGATCCACCTAAAGTCAGGACTTCATCTGAGGTCTTAGAAATCACCATTTGGGAGACACAGACTCAGATGGCTCTGAATCAAGGCCCCCCGGAAGGTACGGAAAGTGGGATCCTGTGCGCTGAGAAGCCACCAGGGCTGTGAGACTGATAGAGGATCAAGAAAAGGGTGAATAAACAGGAGGTGAGTGTCCATTAAGAAAAAAAAAAAAAGTCTGATAACCTTGCTGTGGGTGTTGAGCCTCTGCACACAGGGTACCTGTCTGAGTCACTTAGGTCGTTCCGGATGCCTGTGGTCAAAGGGTGGAAGTGACCCAAGTTCAAGTTGCACGTAGCAGCTGGATGGTTGATAAGCTCTGCCTCCTATTGACCTCCGAGTCACTGGGAAAGGCTCTGGCAAAGCCGCATCAAAGTTTTCACTATGATTTCCTTCTTATCTTTGTTTTTAAAAAATGCTAGTAATGACCATGACCAATAACTTCCTTTCTTTTCCTTTTTTTTTTTTTTTTTTTTACAGGCAGAGTTAGACAGTGAGACAGAGAGAAAGAGAGAAAGGTCTTCCTTCCATTGGTTCACCCCCCAAATGGCTAGTACAGCCGGCGCGCTGCGCCGATCCAAAGCCAGGAGCCAGGTGCTTCCCTCCTGGTCTCCTATGCGGGTGCAGGGACTTGCCTTCCCGGGCCACAGCAGAGAGCTGGACTGGAAGAGGAGCAACCGGGACTGGAACCTGGGATACCGGCACCACAGGTGGAGGATTAGCCTAGTGAGCCACAGCGCCGGCCAATAATTTCTTTTCTATAAAAAAGGGCCAGTAATAGCCGGTGCCGCGGCTCACTAGGCTAATCCTCCGCCTTGCGGCGCCGGCACACCGGGTTCTAGTCCTGGTCGGGGCACCAGATTCTGTCCCAGTTGCCCCTCTTCCAGGCCAGCTCTCTGCTGTGGCCCGGGAAGGCAGTGGAGGATGGCCCAAGTCCTTGGGCCCTGCACCCCATGGGAGACCAGGATAAGTACCTGGCTCCTGCCATCGGATCAGCGCAGTGCGCAGGCCATTGGAGGGTGAACCAACGGCAAAAAGGAAGACCTTTCTCTCTCTCTCTCTCACTGTCCTCTCTGCCTGTCCAAAAAAAAAAAAAAAAAAAACAAGGGCCAGTACTGTGGTACCATGGCATAGCCGGTAAAGCTGCCGCCTGCAAGTGCCAGCATCCCATATGGGCACCGGTTCGAGACTTGGCTGCTCCACTTCCGAACCAGTCCTCTGCTATGGCCTGGGAAAGCACTGAAAGATGGCCCAAGTGCCCACATAGGTGACCTGGAAGAAGCTTCTGGCTCCTGGCTTTGGACTGGCCCAGCTCCGGACATTGTTGCCATTTGGGGAGTGAATCAGCAGATGGAAGACCTCTCTCTGTCTGCCTCTGCCTCTGACTCTCTGTAATTCTGCCTTTCAAATAAATATATACATCTTTTAAAAATTAAAAAGCTTTATTTATTTGAAAGGCAGTGTGACAGAGAGACAGGGATAGAAATATATTCAGGGAGATCTTTCACTTGTTGGTTCACTCCTCAACTACTGGCAACAGCCAGGGCAGGGCCAGGACAAAGCCAGGAGTCAGGAACTGCATCTGGATCTCTCACATGGGTGGCAAGGACCCAAGCACTTGGGCCATTGTCTGCTGCCTCCCAGACACATTAGCAGGGAGCTAGATCAGAGGTGGAGGTGAGATTTGAACCCAGGCACTCCACATGGGATGCAGGTATCCCGGGCAACAGCTTTGCACCCTGCTCTACAACATGCACCCGCATTTGATTTTCATTCTACTATCTGCTACCTGGATCTGGGAAGTGAGCAGGCATCACGCCTCCCTGAGACTCACTCCCATTTTCTAACATAAACTGCACATTCGCGCAGGCCACGGAGCTGGCTGACACTCCGTGAGGGCGGGGACTTTCTGGGAAACCAGGAACCCCAGCATGTGACCGTCCCCAAGGGGAGTCTGAGTACGTGGGCTTCACTTGGGCAGCACCCAAGGGACAGGAAACTGCTGGACTTTTCTGGGAACCAACACCCATATGGGATGCCGGCATCAAGGCAGCGGGTCAACCCACTACACCAAACGCAGTCCTGGCTGCCGCTGTCCCACGCTCAGAGCTACTGCTGACCAGACCCTCTGCCCATCCTGGGAGAGGCCCAGGCAAAGCTCCTGCGAGCGCTCCTGCTGGGGCTGAGCTGCCACGCACCCTCCCTCTGCCCTGCCAGCCGCTCCCTCCTGCCCCGCTCACCGACTCAGAATCCCGTGAGCCTGAGCGCAGTTGGCGAGCCGGTAGAGAGCCACCACTCTTGTGGCTTGTGATTCAGAATTCCTGGAAGTTCAGATTCAAGAGCCCTGAA